GTGTTAAAGAGTGAAATAGAGTTAGCAAATTATATATATCGCGTAGTGTCTCTGCTTTACGTTGATGATGAAACTAGTCAATACTGCTCAGTTCATAAGATGATTGCGACCTCGGCTGCACAAGACATAGAGAGGATGATTCTTGAGAGCCATTTCTCAAGAAGTTCAGAATGTCAGATCACGGAACTGCAGCACACAGGTCGAAAATTTTAGATCCGATTTGGTTTTTTCCAAATTAATAGACTAGTTAAATAACTACTTAAATTGAAAGTCCCGTTCAAATTAATGCCAAAAAATTATATTGAATAGTGGAAGAATCAAGTTGATATCTTGAATACAACTGAAGGTATGAATACACATCTTGTTCTGCATATGTGCTTATTGATAAGGACTTTACTACGCACTACATAACGACATTTTTCTCTTGAGCACGATTGCTCGGTGATCGTGGTGATTCTGCATCGAGACGATTACGCATGAGTAGTGCTGCTGAGTGGTGCTGCTCATTGATTGTAGAGATGCTGCATTGAGACTGTTGCGATGGGTAATGCCTTGGGGAGCGCAGCCATGCACCAATAATTTTGTGCATCAATCAGCCCTACATGGAACGCCTATCATATTTCTGTAAGACCATCGATCAGTCGCCGATTAAGCCCGCCGTTAGTAGCCTGTTCATGACACGTTGTTTTAAATCTTGAGAGTTTTGCATCAGCTTATACTGACAATAATAGCCCAAAGTGTACTGATTGTCCACCAATGAGAATCTCATCGAAACATCACCTCACACCCTGACTATAGCCTGAAGTGTAACTAGTGAACGATGGCCTGCGACCAATCAGCCTAGCTCACCAGGGTAATTGCATGAAACCTGCCGCGCACCACCAGGTCATTTAATTACCTGTCGATTGTATGAAAACGTCACACTCGCGTTCAAACATATGAACTATTGCTTCAACTCTTGCTCCACCCCTCATCTTCTCGCGTTCAAACATATATTTTGATATTCTACACAAATACATGTATGGATGAAGCTTGAACCATACAAGAAAGTTACCTATCCCACGGTTTTTATAACTATTTACACTATACCTAAACTATATGTATGGTGAACCTATACATAATTTATATACAGAAACTGTATATAATGTAAATACTGTACCTATACCTATAAATTCATAATTTAACCTTTCATTGTTCAGTCCTCATTTGGAACGTTAGACCATATTTCTATCAGGCCTTGCATTGGATTACACTTTATCTTTCTCTCTGTTGGGAAGCATTTAAATCTGAATGTAGCTGATGGCAAAGCGAGGTGCCAGGCACAGCCGCCGAGGGGAGTGAAATTCTGTAAATTTTGCTCCTCTGAGGGTGAATTTTCTCCTATTTCTGCCACTGCTATTAAATCTCAGGAGATTTAACCACACGCAAGGCCCCAAATTAAGTTCATATTAACTTGGGTTAATTGAGGGTGCGCTAGCGAGTGAATTTATTTTATATACTCCCAGTAGCAGCGCAGCGGGTAAAAATTATTTTCGCAGAAATATACCTAGTTTATATAATACAGGGTGATTTACGGAATGTCCTGTTTTACATTTCGCACCAAGCAGCCAGATGTCGTGGGAAAAGAACGGTTAGTATTTCATATGAAAGGCAAAGTCATGTTTTGTGGCCCGGCTAGTCAGCTGCCACTATACATTGGACAAAAGAGCAGCGTGCAAATGCTGTCGATTCGTACTTTTCGAATGGCCGTTCCATTATCGCCTCATCTTCTTGAGAGGTGAGCTTCTTTGGCCGGCCTGACCCCTCGATTTGGCTCTGTGTGGTTTTTATGGAGTTCTCTTCAATCAATTGTTTACAATGGCTGTCCAAGGACCCAGCCTCATTAGAAGAACAACATACGCCAAGCCATCGCCAACACACCAGTCAATATTCTTCAGCGAGTTGAATGTAACTTCAAAATTCGGCTAACTGATTGCACTTACAATGGGGGCCGTCATTTGTTCAATGTCATCTTTAAAATTAAGTGATGAAAATCCAGCTAATGTCTTTTTCAATATAATTTATATTGTAATGATATCTTTACTGGTTCTTTCCTTTATTGAACTTTAAAATCAGCAAGTTTCCGTGAATCACCTTGTACGAAATCTCTGAAACTCTTTATAAGCGGAAGAATTTAGACTGGAAAAACATTTTTAAATAGAATCTAATTGGGAGTCTATCTGATTCAACCCCTACCAAATAAAAAAATGGCTCATGTGACCTTCGATTTCTTTGTATATTTAATTTTTTGTGCAGAAATTGTGAGAGATCTTTAGATAACTACTGCAAGATCGATGTAACTAAAAGCGAAGAACTTTTTCGATTACACATTCCGGTCGAAATATTAGCACAACAGTTTTTGCATCTCAGTGATTGCTGAAAGTTTCCAATCTGCTTGGTGCTTTAACCGCCATAATTTGGGCCCTGAAAATCTATAATTTCTTTCCCAACTTCTTCTGAGGTCAGAACTTTCGTGGCTTAAAGTCAACTTTCATTTCCAACTTGTAAATCGAAAATCGAAGCCTGACGGAAAATTTTTGATAACTCCATGGCTTCTGGCATGGCTTTGTCATGTTAATATTAATGGTTTGTTAATAATTGAATGGTTTGTGTCATTGTCTTCTACAAATTTTAACTCATTAATAACAGAGTGAAACACTCATGTGCGACCATATTTTAATATTTAAATTGCCTTTTATATCAATGTTGAACTTACTGAACACATTCGAATCCATTCAATTTCACTGAAGGCATTATACATCATCAATCACATGCAAATTTGATCATATCGGGTATATGTCAGATTGTTGTATTCCACATAAAACGAAGCCATTCATTGGACGGAAGATGGTCGTGTTTCGCTCAGTTGATCTAGCCTCTGATCAGGGTCATCATGAGACAGTCTGACCAGCGTGTGGCCTAACGCATCAAGAGGCAGCTTGACCAACTGCTCTTTTCGGTTTTATTACACAGATTCGGCCCACCGGCCAATCGACTTTTGAAACAGCTGCTAATTGCAGCCGAACACACCAGGTGGCCGATTCGCGCCTGATTCACCTCTAAGCCGAATCCATTGCTTCTGGGGTGACCCAAATCAAATTGAGACGAAAATTTTGACTGGGTAGATCATCAGCACTAAAAATCTTACTACAGCCCATACTTCACATAGACGGTACCCACGATTATCGAGGCATTTAAATACTCAGTAAACACCGTAGACAACGATGAATAAAACATAGGCAGGAGATTTAGGTACCCACATGCGCAAAGAACTGACAGGAGTGTTTGAAAAACGATAATTCAGTTTTAAAATGTAGCATGCACCCTTGTGCATCAGAATGCGATACCTTGAATGATCCTCGTTCAAACAGGATTCAAACTAACCAGTTCTATTTTGCTCGAGTTATTTTTTGCTCAACATTCTCTCAACTTCAGATTATAACGGAATATTGAAACTCGTGACCGTATTCATCAAAAAAAAAAGAGAAGCATTTCAGAATAAAAATAATATATAGATAGCATCTTACAGCGTGTAACCCATTGAATTGACATAAAAAAGTATTTTTATAGCAACAAACACAATGAAGCATAAAAATAAGATAATTTAAGAAGTTGTGAGCCATGTCCCGCATGCATCGAGTAATACTAAAAATACGCACGGAAACACCTCATGATATTTTCGGCAGCGTTTATTCAAGAAAATAAAAACGGATGTGCTCCCAGAACAGGTTTCAGAAAATTTCTCATCCACAATTCTGAACTAATATTGAGAAGGTGATGAAACCTGACCTGCGAAGTCTAGTCTATTCGATCAGACATCAACAATCGTGCGGATAGATTACCTGGACCAGAAATTTTATTTACATCTGTGATTTATGAAGACTTCTAAAATTTATTTTGAAACTCAGTTCATGTTAACAAATGCCACAGCTAAACCTTTTTTTCCTAAGAGAAAATCAGAAAGGTTTAAATGGCTATTTATAAAGCAAGGTCAAGGGACCGATTTGAAAACGGATAGGGAATTCTAGCGATTTATCCGCCCGAAATATGTTATAAAATCTCGAAAATTATCAACTGCGAGTTATGTTGCTTTAATTTACTTTTTCCTATTAGCGTTTTAAAACATGAATCATATCCGGTGGGGTTTAATTACTATCTTCATATCAGGAAGGTCATTCGTTATTCTATTACTATTGCTAAGCCTATATTGCTAAGGAATATTTGACTAAGACTTTACTCGTATTTCACTTCACGATAGCTCGGTATTTAATTACATACTTGGCTGTTTGTAAAGTATGTGTTTGTTTTGTGATTTCTTTGCGGAACGATTGAATATCGTAAGGACGAAATTACTTTGAAAACGCACCAGGGAATTGAAAATTATGATTTATAATATTTTTAAAGATGAAATAATAATGTGACATTTTTAATATAAAATGATTTTGTAGACAAAACGCTCAATGAAAATCAGTATTAAAGTGAATATATGCATGTAAAATTATCAGCAAATTAGCTTACCATCAGGAGAAAGTGAATAACTGACTAGTACTTTGAATGCCCCTAAGAAATTGAACCCGCAAGAGCAACCTTGGAAACAAATCTTTGAGTAAGTCAGTGATAAAATATTATCAGTGTAAGACGATGAAATATTTTCGAAACTATTATTCAGGTATTAGTTCCTGGTGATGACAACTAAAAGTTTAAATAGCCAAAATCGTAGCACCTTCATTGTGACGTGAAACATCGACGCAAAACAAAAGTTATGGAAACTATTGTGGAGAGATTTAACTGACATATAACTCAATAGGAATACTCATTTGTATTGGAAACTATCTTCAAAGTTCGTCTCAAATTAATATAGCCGTTTTTTCTGGCTCCTGTGCACAAATCCAGATAGATCAACGTCTTTTTAGACGTTAATCTTGGAGGGCAAACTAATTTTCTTGTACATTAAATAGTCTATGCTGGATCCCCCTTCCACTCCACCGTCTCTCCTCCCTCTTACCCTTCGTCGGACTGACGAAGGCACTCCTGCGACGTTCAGGAGGATCGTCGGACTTCCTGAAGAGGAAGATGCCATCGCCACGAGCCAAGGCACCGTAAGAACATCTGTATCCCCGGTGGCAGAAATGTTCAGGCCAGTGGGCCTCCTCCTGCATTCTCAGTCTGTTCCTTGCTTCGGTAATTATGAAAACATCAGCCACCTCGACACTCCAAAGTCTGATAAGGCCACATCGTCCGCCGGTTCTTCATCGACGTCCACCACCGACACTGTCTCGGCATGTGGACCGACAGCGGCTGCAGCGGCCTTGGGTCCTCGCCGAGTTCACGTCCGACCAACAGACGAGCTACGCAAACGTAAGACTTTTGTGTGACCTACATTTTCTCATGTTATCCCATTTCATATTTTTAGAATTCATAGTCGTAAAACCATACATTTGAAAATACTTCGATATTAACTTGAAATATTAAGCATTTCGAGTTAAGTATTAAAAAACTTGATTTAAATTCATGCCTAATTAAGTACAATCAGTGGGCTTAATAAAAGCCAATAAAGGCATTTTGCCTTTTTTTCTGTGTTTTTATTTTACTTCTAGTGGGTAAGTATTTTAATTGTTTACTCACATTCCTTATTGAATTGTTTCCTTGAATGTGTACAGAATTGTAGTGCAGTACTGCATTTAATTTTGTATCGAATACTATTCAAAAATCATTTCAAGTCAAATAGCCAATCATTGCGGACACAACAAATTATTAATATATTCTAAAGTTTATTTTGTACCTGCATTGTTAACAAATGAATTTATTTCAGCTTGTATTACGATTACAAGTCATAACTCTGAACCTTCATCATAAAAACTGCATTATTATCAGAAAGCCACTCTAACTAAGGCATTCTACTGGGGATAAAGTTATTTGATACATAGTAAAAAGTTGTCATGAAATGAGACATAAGTATGCTTGTGTTATAAAATGAATACATTTTTATTGTCTGCTTTCACATACTTATTATTAGGGTTAAAATGTTACAAGTAGTGCCTTTTGAAAAAAAATTCAATTCGCTGCTGAGTAATTGAATGATTCTATAATAAGTTTACTTATATAATTGCGCTAGTTCAGGATCTCGATTAAACATTTTACAGCATTTGCTGAATAGGGATGTAACTTCGCCTTGTTCAAAAGACGAGGCACACAATGAAAAACCGAACGAACATACACAATCTCTTTGGATGCCGTGCATTGTGTGAGCTCAACAAAAGCTCGCGTAGATTCTTTAAGGAGTTTAAACGAAAAGTTCGTGTCAAGCGACTTCGTCGCTGTCCAATAGACACAAGATCAACTAATTGGAATCTAGAGTGCACCTGATCGCCATGTTTCCCTATAACAACCGAGGCTAAAAGATTGAAAAAGTCATCGTTTGCTACATGAACTATTGTTTTAAGGACTTTAATGGATATATAGAATAGAGGAAATATATCACTTTTCACTTATTCAATCAAGGCATTGCTTAGAATAATCTTCTTGCGAGATTCGGGCTTCCCATTGATTTTTTAAAATGTAGTTGCACATGACGCTACTTACTATCATACCAACTGTTATGAATTCACTGTGTGTATACATGATTACGGATTCTGTGCATTACGAGGAACATTGACTAAAGGAGTGATATGGGCTACTGAATAGACTGAATGGTATACAATGAAAACAGAATAAATTACTAGATTTAATAGACTAAAGCTGGACAAACTTCCTGCCCCCTTAAAAATAATGTTAGAGTAAAATCGCGCCTAGCAGCTTCCTAGGCACTAGGCAATTTACACTCTGCGCGCCAGGAGCTGCGGCAGGCAAAATGAATATAAATTTGGCTGGTAATGCGACAGGCATGCTGGTAATTGGAACTATTTTTAATGCTAAACTGGTGATCGTCGTGCTTCGATGTGTGAAAATTTCCATGGATACCTCATTCTTTCACTTGTGATATTGTTTCCCTTATTTTTTGATAAATTTCATATGCGTTTGTAACCAAAACTTTCTTTAATTAATTACTTGATGCTTGAAATGAAACAATTCTCAATGATTTGATTCTAACTTCACATACTTATACACGAATTACTAAATATTTTGTAATATAGTGTAGCCCAGACGTCAGCAAGACGCCAAGGAAAAATTTAGTTTCGTCGTGCAAAGTTTCAGAATAAAAAGTATTTTGGACACAAACATCGACAATCATAAGCGTAGAAGACATGAATTTCAAAAGTATAATTCACGCATATGCGTTGAATTATACTTTTCAAGTTGTTTTCATTCAATATCTAACTCAAGTCAATATCTAATTCAAGTTTATAATATCTAACTTGATATATTTAATAATTCAAGCTAATATCGAAGTATTTTCAAATGCGCGGTTTTACGACCATGAATTCTAAATATATGAATTCTTTCTAAATTCTTTCGTGGCGTCGGCGCAAGAATTATCGGATTTTTTTTTGTTATGCGTTGCGTGAGATGCCACTATGCGAATTTTGAATATCATACTTTAACCTAATTTAATATGAACGTGCAGTAGAGGATTATTTATAATGTATCACAAATATTTAACTCATATATGTCCGCCTAAAAATATCTGATGTTGCTCATATAGATAGCAAGTAAATAGCATACATTTTCAAGCAGAAACAAAACCAAACTTATGAAGAGAAGAAAGCTGCTCAAGATTTGTTGACATTTTAATATTTTTGGTAGGTAAAGAATGAACATTTTCAAGTAAAATTTCGGTCATAAACCGATATTAAATTTACAACCGATACTTATTATCATATGTATAATGACTTTATAGGCTGGGAGGAACAAAAGTGCTACCACTCTAATCTGGGGAGGCTGATTACAGCAATTTGTCTTGTAATGGACGTCGAAATTTGGTCCATCTTGGAGGAGAGAGGCTGAAAAAAGGCTTTGTTCTATGAAATTGGCCAGCAGCTGAAGCTGCTCGAGGCAAGCATGATTGCTGCAAACCTCGTCCGCAAAATTGGAGAGGCTCGCAAAAATTACGACCTTCGGGATGAGACTTGACCTGAAACGGAGAATAATTCAGAGGGTAATGGTGGTAGTGAGGGTAATGTTTGGTAAGAGAATACTTGAGAAATGAGGTGCTAGTGATGGTAGTGAGGGCTAAGAGAAGAGTTGAGGAATGAGATGCTAGTGATGGTAGTGAGGGCTAAGAGAAGAGTTGAGAAATGAGGTGCTAGTGCTCCAAAAATGCACCATATTATGACGCATTTTCTCTTCAAAAATATTCAAATAACAGCAAAATTCGGAGTAAAATGTTAAAATTTTCATGTCTTCTGAGTAATAATAAACGAATTTCCATGAGACGTGAAAATATCATTTCCAGCACCGGTTGACATCTTCAACTACAGTAGTGGGAAAAACGCGCACTGTGTGTGATGCCAGTGTACACACGCTAGTTTAACTAACTGCAAAAAGACTGCTTCCATTATTCTATTGATCGCTAGCTCCTAGCTACCTGTCGGTTCAGTTTAAGTTCCGTAATCCTGGCTCTTGGTAATCCTGATATCGTCGAGTAAATTAAATTCTGGGAGTGAACTCCGTAGACTATATGACAGCGGACATAAGTTCCAAACCACTGCACATTAACTCTGGTAAAATTTGTCAGCTACCCTGTAACTTGGTGAGGAGCTATACATTATCAGATACTTAGGGGTTTATTGGATTAAATTATGAATTACTATTTATATGGCATATTATTATCATTGTAATAAACCGTTTTTCTGTGTATTATTGTGTCGTCAGCCAAAGTATTCCCGGCTTCACCTTCGAGAAGTTACAGAATTTTTTTTAATTTAATTTTTTTGTTTATCACTAATATGTATAGTTCTATAAAAATGATTAAAAAATTTTGAATCGACCATCTTAGTAAATAGTTTAAAAATATATCAGTACTCACTGAAGTGAGTGACAGAGAGCGCATTTTCTCTGTCGCCTGAAGACACGGACGGACGGACATGACGAGTGCAATAGCGCTTTTTTCCATAAATTAGAAAATGCGCCAAAAATCAATTAGTTGCATATAAAGGAAATTTAATTTAATTAAGTCAAAGGAAATTTTGACACGAATTACGAAAATCTATTGTATGACAATTAATTATTGAATAAAACTCTCATAATTATTTTCATACAATGATGTAACTAACCTTCATATGTCATCACTTATCTAAATTTATGCGTATCCATATAATGTCACGTATTAGAGGCTAATGGTAATTTGGTATTGAGCTGCGACTGCACTTATTGTATGGTCCCAATAGGTGCAACAAGCTGGCTAATCTCCACGCAAGGACTTCTGGCATGAAAATGGAACGAAAACCCACTATACTCTTAACTGCATCGATTTGCTTCACTTCAGTCACTCTAGTCTATAGTCACTCCAGTCTCTAGTCACTCCAGTCTCTAGTCACTCCAGTCTCTAGTCACTCCAGTCTCTAGTCACTCTAGTCTCTAGTCACTCTAGACTCTAGTAACTCTAGTTTCTAGTCACTCTAGACTCAAGTAACTCTAGTCTCTAATCACTCTAGTTTCTAGTAACTCCAGTCTCTAGTCACTCTAGTCTCTAGTCACTCCAGTCTCTAGTCACGCTAGTCTGAAGTCACTCTAGTTTCTAGTCACTCTAGTCTCTAGTCACTCTAGACTCTAGTAACTCCAGTCTCTAGACACTCCAGTCTCTAGTCACTTAAGTCTCTAGTCACTCTAGTCTCTAGTCACTCTAGTCTCTAGTCACTCTAATCTCTAGTCTCTCTAGACTCTAACTCTAGTCTCTAGTCACTCTAGACTCTAGTCACTCTAATTTCTAGTCACTGTAGTCTCTAGTCACTCTAGTCTCTAGTCACTCTAGACTCTAGTAACTCTAGTCTCTAGTCACTCTAGTCTCTAGTCACTCTGGACTCTAGTCACTCTAGTTTCTAGTCACTCTAGTCTCTAGTCACTCTAGTATCTAGTCACTCTAGACTCTAGTAACTCTAGTCTCTAGTCAGTCTAGACTCTAGTAACTCTATTCTCTAGTCACTCTAGGCTCTAGTAACTCTAGTCTCTAGTCACTCTAGTCTCTAGTCACTCTAGACTAGTAACTCTAGCCTCTAGTCACTCTAGTCTCTAGTCACTTCAGTTTTGTACTGTCTCACTCAGAATTAAGTGAGAGAAATAATTTTTTTTTAATTAAGACCATCGAACATCGAAGTTTTGCGGTTAATTGGAAAATTTTGTAGCGAAACAAAAATAAATAAATAAATGAAAAAAAAATAAAATGAACAACGGAGCTATTTATCATCAGAAAAGTAGATTCC